CCGTACTGCGTTTGAGCGGGGCCTGAAGACAGTCAGAGAATGGTTTTGTGCATGGGTGCCTTTCTTGTATCAGGGAGGCGCAGAGAGAGAGAGAGAGAGAGAGGAAGGCAAGAAGGCCCAAACCCGTGACGCATGAATGTGTAAAGGGTGGATCCTTGGAGGCCGAGGGTCTCGCGCGAAGTGTTGCAGCGCAGTTGTTCTCACCCCAGCGATCCTGGGTAATGCGGGGTCGCCCGATCGCTGGCATCGCTGATGATTTGGCTGGCACAAGCCCTTGACCTGGCCCGATCGCCTGCGTGCCCACCCAAGCCAGTCGGCTCGGACCTGCTCAGGTGCAGGAGCGGCTCGTGGCTCTGCAGAAGAAGGCGCCTGTGACCATGCTCCCCCCCCCCCAGACAGTGTCAGTCTGGACGTGCTCCCACATTCTCTCGTGCCCCCAGCCCTGAGACGTGTCCGCGTCATGTCGACACGGGACCCGAGGCAGCGTTTGCACCCACGGAGCGCCAGTTACTTCTCGGACAGGAGACCGCATGGGCGTGGCGAGCTCTTGCGCGGTGGGCGCCCCGTGGGCGCGCCCCGTGCGCCGCCTGGAGCTGCCGAGGCGCCGCTCGGCGGCTGGCTCCTGCGAGGCGCTCCGTGCGCTGGCCGGGCCTGCCGGGGTCTCGGGGGGCCCCTCGTGGGCGCCCCGTGCGCCGCGCGGGCCCGCCGAGGAGGCTGCGCCCCGGTGGGCGGCCATGGGCGCCCCCGGGCGCGCCCCGCGTGGCCTGCACCCCCCGTTGCTGGCACGGCACGGCGCGCGCCCAGGCGGCTTACGCCGGCACGCCGCAGCTCGCACTCCTCCTCCTCCTCCTCCTCCTCCTCCTCCTCCTCCTCCTCCTCCGCTTCCTCCTCCTCCTCCTCCTCCTCCTCCTGCACAGGCGTGGCCACGGAGCGCACGCCACGCTGCTTACACCACATAGCTCACGCAGCCGCACGCGCGCAGATTGCACCGCCGCGCGTGCACCACACTGATGGCACCACGGTTTGTGTCAGTTTGCCCGCAGCTCGCACAGCTTGCATGACATAGCGTGCACCGCCCGCATGCTCCTAGCAAGTGGCTTCCTGGCCTGCGATAGTCAGGGACGTAGGCAGAACTCAATAGACAAGTTTTGGTCGACGGCGAAGCTCACCCCCTGAATAGCATGTATGTGGATCGGGGCACTAGAGCATCGTTCCCCTTTTGCATGTTGCGACGGTGTGTGAAGTTTAATACTGTTTGGCATGCTACAGAAAGTCTGACTGAGTAGCTAGGGCCATAGTTTCCGCGAGGACTCGCCATCGTTTTCGAATGTATTGGGAGCGCCAGCGGCGTCGAATCTGCTTTGTCATTTTCTTCCAGCCGTGCTTGCAACCACCAGCCAGGCCACCCTGCGGAGTCGCCGCTTTGCGATCGGGGGTGAACTTGGAGCTGCACGCGGTCAGTACTGTAGGATCGGAGTTGAAGCCAGCGTTGGTGGCCCCCGACTCCGGTGTAGGCTGGTATCGCAGAGAGAAGCCTGGACCTTAGTGGGCCCCGGAAGCGGCAGGGCCGTTTTTTCACAGCTTTCGAAAAGTGTCTCTGGAACATGGGAACGGCAAAACAACGGCGACCGGCTCCAGGGTCGGAGCATGAACCCGGAAAGAAACGGGGGCGGAATCGGCAACAAAATGGCGTCGGAACCGGCAACAAAAACGGCAAAACGGAAACGGTAAAAAACGGCTCTGTCGTTTCCAGAGCCCACTGAGCCCCAGATTGTGCATCGGCGGAGAGGATTCCGGATTTTGCATCGACAGCGGGTCGTGGTTCGTCCGTCGGGTCGCCCGTCGATCGTGCGTCGTTGGACAGGTCGCCCGTCGATTGTTTCTGTTGGAGTCGGCAGGGACAATGCCGGGCCGATTGGGCCAGGCTGGGCCGGTTGGTCAGCTCGATTGGGATTGGGTTTGAGCCCTGCAATAGCCATGATGGGGAGGCTCTTTGGCTCGCTCGGGCAGGGGGTCTGGATGCATGTCTGGGGAGGTGACAGTCGACACTCGACGCTGGTAGATGCGTGGTCGATCAATGGACTAATGCGGGATGATCCCGTTGAATGCGGCTGAGTCCAGCTAACGTCGTTCCAAGAGGTCCGCGCAGACCCCAGAAAGTTTCTGTTGTGCAGTTCGTCTGATTATGTTTTCGTCTTTTGCCTGTTCCTCCCCGCCTCCTCCTCTCATGGGCGTTGTTAGGGGGGGATAGGCTTGCGGGGGAAGCATCGACTCTCAATCGCCCATTCATTGCGGGGAAACCAACAGGTATGTACCGCTACTGCTGCTCCCCGGACCTCTCACGGGGTGCCTCCTGACCAGCATTTCGAGGCGAACCCAGCGGTGGCGACGAGGGCCTCCCAGGAGGCCCACGAGGGGGAAAACGAGGGAAGGGTAGCGGTATGGGTACCTTTTTTTCTCTCCTCTGAGAAAGGGCCTGGTGGCCTACCCCGCCCAGGAACGTGCAGATTTGTAATCGGGGGCCTGCCTGTCGGCGATGCACCGCAGGTCACAGGTCGATGGTTCCCCATCCAGGAGCCTGCCCCCGCCCTAATTGTTCCCCTCCTCGGAGGAGGAGAAGGTTAGAAGGAGGAGGTTGCGTGTGGCGCCCGCGGGTTGGGCCGAGAGTCGCGGTTGTGGCTCTCGCCTCCCCGGCAGAGCTCAGCAGGCTGAGTCATCCGAGGTCCTCGACCGACGGGCCGACCTCCTCCTCCTCCTAATCTTCCTCCTCCACAAGAGAACATGTTTTTGTTTACCCTCTGGGCCATAACGCGCGTTATGCCTCCTACCCCTCCCCCCCTCCCCCCCTCAGATCGTAACGCTCCCCCCCCCCTCAGTGCGTCCCCGGCACTGCCGCAGTGCGTCTGTCACCACAGTCTGGTGGGGGGGGGGGGCGTTACGTCATGCCCCTTCCCTTTCCCCCCCCCCCCGCCCTCCCCCCGCAGACGCCCGTTGTGGCCGCGAACGAATAAAACATGTGTTCCTGCGTCCAATCGCAGCCTCCCCGGAGGTGGACCCGATGGGCCTCGCTTCTCGCGCCGCGGAGCGTCACGCCCCAGATGCCGAGGCTGCCGGGAGGAGGAGGAGGAGGAGGAGGAGGAGGAGGAGGAGGAGGAGGAGGAGGAGGGACGAGGAGGGACGAGGAGGGACGAGGAGGAGAAGGAAGAGGGACGAGGAGCAGGAGGAGACGGAAACAGGAGGAGGAGGAGGATGCCGAGGCATAACAAATCGCTTAAACATAAGGTTTCGGAGTTCCGCGCGGATTTCTCGGATCGACCCTGGGGACCCCGCTTGGCAGGGCTTGCGGCGCCGCCCCTGTCACGCGCCAGTCAGCGCGGTCGAACGCCGGTCCAAGAGATCCGCGCGGACTTCCGAAACACATACATGCGTATGCCACCTGCTCTCGGGACGAGCAAGATCGGCACAACACACAACGAAGCGTTACTTCAATGTTCGGTAATATTGGGAATAGGGTGGGAAGAGGGAACTCAAGGAATATGTAAATCACATACATATCTACATGTGTACACGTTTTACATACATGCCCGCCTCCGTCCCACCACACACATGATGGTACTTCTCCATCTTCGTGTTGTGCTTACCCTTCTTCGTCTGCATACCTATCTGGGGGTGTTCGTCTTATGTTTTCATTTCCTTATCCATATTCTGCATATTTCTTTGTTTGGCGTCGTCCTCATCATCTTCCTCGCCTGCTGCTGACGCTCGTGCTCCTTCCTCGCATGAGGCGACTGAAGAGGAGGAGGACGAGGATGAGGAGCGGGATGATGAAGAGGACGAGGAGTTGGATATTTTGAGGAGTGGGGGCGTCCTCTACCACATCTGTCTTTGGCGTCATCCTAATATGTTGTTTTGCCTGCTGCTGCTGCCGCTGTTGCGTGTTCCTCGGATGAGGAAGAGGAGGTCTACTAAGGAGGAGGAGGAGGAGGAGGAGAGAGTTTTTCCGAATTCGATCAGAACTCTATAACGATGTTGGTAGGAATGGTGCAGATACCAGATCCAGAAGATCCGCATTGAGTTTGAATACGGTACTATCATGCTTGCAATAGAAGCGGAGCAGATCGCAGATCGGGAGGATTCCACTTGAATGTGGACCGAAGTCTCATCACATTCCAAGAAATATGGAGCAGAGCCCATATCGAGAAGATTCCGATTGAATTTGAACAGGGGTCGAATCGGATTACAATTGACATGGAGCGTATCCCATGTCCAGAAGATTCCGATGGACTTAGAATAGGACGCCACTCGGATTTCGGTTCAAACTGGACAGATCCCATATCCAGACGATCTCTGTTGCATGCGAAGTATCTTCCTCATTTGCCTTCTCGTCCTCCGCATGACCAGTCCTCCGTCTCCGTTTCCGCCGTTTTCCTCCTGTGTTTCTTCTTTCTGCTTCTCCTTCTCATGCTGCCGTTGTTGTTCCTTCCTCTGATGAGGAAGGGGGAGGTTATAAAGAGAGGAGGATGAGGGATCCATTTTGATTTTTTGTGTGTCTCCTTTAGGAACCGAGAGCATCCCAAATTCAGAGGATCCTCCTTGAATGTGCGTCGGGCTCTGATGTGATTCCACTGGGAACAGGAAGCGATCCCAGACCCATATGGTTCCTATTGAAATTGGATGGACGTCTAAGCACATGTCAATAGAAACGGAGCGGACACCATATCCAAAGGATTCCTACAGAGCTTGAATGGGGTTCTGTCCGCTTTTGATATGGACGGAATTGATCCCAGATCAAGAGCAATGTTATTGGATTTGAAAAGCGTTCGAATCGGGCCTTCAGTCTAAACAGGGCAGACCCCAGGTCCAGAGGATTCCTATGGGATTTGGATCAGATTCCAGCATGGTTGCAACAGGATTAAAGCAGACCCCAGATCCAGCGGACCCCTGTTGAAAGTTGATAGGATTCTCATCACGTCCAAGTTGACACGGGACAGACCCCAGGTGCAGGAGGACGAGGGGGAGGGGGGGCAGGAAAGAGCAGGAGCATGCAGGAGCACGCAAGAACAGGAGAGGGAAGCCGCGGGGAGGTGGGAGGAGAAGGATGGGCGGCGTTGGCGGACCTTTTGGAACACTGACCTCCCCGATATGTTTGAAGGTGTTGGTGAGAAAGCCTGGTGAAAGCACAGATGTGCCTGACAGTGTTGGAAGTGTCCGTAAGCAAGCCCAGCGGAAGCGCAGATAGTCGTGGCATCTTGATGTTTTTCTGGGCGAAGGCGCTTGCAAGGAGGTTGTGGGAACAGGAGGGGGGGGGCCGTCCCCAGAAAACCTAGTCATATCAATAACATCTGTGTTGTCATTTGGCTTCCTGGCGAACGCCTCCAAACATATCAAGAATAACAGTGTTTTTGTTGTCGGGCGTCCTGGAGAGACCCTCCAAACATAGCAGATGCAGTTGTGTTTTCAGTTGGTTTCCTTGCCCAGGCCTTCACATACATGTGGGACAGCTGTGTTTTCGCAGTCTTGGGCGATTAGTAAGTCGCGCGTCCCCGACCACTCGAGCGCCCGTGCGGATTGCCTCTGCCGTGTTGCGACGAGGAAGGTTGTCGCAGGTTGTACCGTTTGGCGCATTGTCTTTGGGGGGGGCGTTGATGAGAAGAAGGACCAGGAGGAGGATTGGCGGCCCATCTCCAGAAAGCCAACACATACCATAAACATCTGTGTTTCCACAGGGCTTCCGTACGACAGTTGTCAAGCATTCATGCATGTCTATCTTGTCGCACAGTTTCCTCACCAAAGCCTTCAACCATTCCAGGGATATCGATTTTATTGTTGCACAGGACGTCCTTCAGAACATTGCCTTTCGTCTAAGGTTCTTCACACGGAGATCCTTCTGTAAGACCGCCAAGAAAATAAAAGATTTACTTCCCGCCTCAAAAGCGAATGGCACGGCCGCTCCTCCAGGAGGAGGAGGACGACGAGAAAAGAGAAAGAGAGAGAGAGAGAGAGCGAGGGATAATGAAGAAGGTGAAGACGAATAAGACAGCACAGTAGGAAGTATACTATGACACTAAATGTATGAGAACAGGCGGAGGAAGAGAAACAGAAAGAGGCTGAGCTCACAGGTATGATTTTCGCGGTGGGAGAGTGATATTGGAGATACTGGATACGAGCATGTATTATCATGTGGGGCGCCCATCTACATGTCTATACATATATGTGTATATTTATACACATGTGTGTATATATATATATATACAGATGCATACAGATAGAGAGAGAGAGAGCGAGAGAGAGAGAGAGAGAGATCGGTGAAATCCTGGAGTTTGGGCCGATCTATATGTGGCTCCCTGGGCCCCTATATTTTCGCTCCGCTGTGGAGCCCCATAGGGGCCCTCGCTATCCTCCGCGAGGGGTGCTCTTGCGGCCGCTAGGGCCTCCTTCGACACCCTCTGGGGGAGCACCTTCCCTGACATATGCCGATATGTTTTTTCCAACCTGGGGCCCAATAGAAGGTCCCGACCCCTTCTCCGGGGGTAGTTCTTCGTCCTGGGTCCGTTCTTCATTTCCCTGGGGCCCAGATTGAAAACATCACATCGTCGACGATCTGAGAACGAGAGGGACAGGACGATGAGGGCCTTAAACAAATACCCCCGACTTCGTGATTTCTTAACATCGGTGACCCCGAGAGGTAGCAGTTCCCCCGGGACGCGTTTTTCATCCCAGATAGTTTTTTGACGCACCCGAGGCCCGCTGGAGGCCCCTAGAACCCTAGAAGCCGAAAGTAGCGAAAAATCTTCCGCCGTGACTTTCGCACAACGCAAGGGGGTCTGGGAATCGGTTCTCCGATCCCAAAAGCGTCCCAGCGGAAAGCCGAAAGCCCCAGCAAGGGTCAGCCACGCGCAGAGGGGGGTCGGGGGAAGGGGGAAGGCTTCTCAGAAGCAACCTGATTCTTAGAAGAAGGCGCGGGCCTTATCCATAGATGTGGGGCCCGCGCCTTCTGAGCAACAGGCTCCTTCTAAGGTGCCTTCCCTCGGACAAGGCTAGGACGAGGATAAATCCGTTGCAGAGCGTTCCGGAAGGCTCTCAAAAGGTCCCCGAGCGCTCTGAGAAGGCCGCGGCGCCCGAAACATCCTCCAGAGCCGCGGGGTCTCGGAGATTCTCGATGTGCATCATCGCCCGGATGCGTCCTCGTCCTGGCTTCGTTAGGGGGCCACATGTGAGCCCGACCCCTACCCGCCACGATTTCTGAGGGGGAGGGTGGGGTTCACTTCGTTCGGGAGCTCCCGAGCGATGTGAACCCCACCCTCCCCCTCAGAAATCGTGGCGGGTAGGGGTCGGGCTCACACGTGGCCCCCTATTCGTCTCCTTCCCCCCTCCCTCTGCCCCCCTCTGTGCGCGCCGCCAGCGGAGGCGCCCCTGGCAGCGCCCCCTCCGGGGGGGGGGGTGTCGGAGGGGCCGGGCGCGGCCTGCCCCCCCTCCCCTGGGAGAGATAGCTCGAGTAGGGGATCGACTACAGAATTGATTTACCCCCAAATTGATTTCCTCGTCGAATCCATTGGAAATGCGTAGAACGTTCAAAAATATACAAACATCCTACGTATGGCTCGACGAGAAAATCAATTTTGGGGTAAATCAATTCTGTAGACGATCACGTACTCCAATAGCTCCCCGGCCGAGGCGGCGGTGCCGCCGGGGGGGCCCGCGCTCGCGGACCCGTACGGCGGCGAGCAGCCAGGCCCCGCAGCAGCGGCTCCGCGCCGCTGGCCTCCCATGAGGGGGTGCGAGGTGCTTCGTTATTTTTTTGGCGTGATCGGCGTCAGGTTTGCCGAAATCGCGACGGGAGGTTTTCTCGATTTTCGGCCTCAGGGGGCCCTCGCCGGGCCCCGAGACCGTCCAAAAGCGTCTCGGGATGGAAGACCGGTCCCAGGGAAGGGGCCCAGACCTTTGGGGATCGACGTTGCGAAAAGAATCACGACGTTGGGGGTATGGCCAGCCGTCCGAGCAGATCGGGTCGGAGCATCGCGCCGCATCGCCGATGCATCGGCGATGCGGCTCGATGTGGAGCCCGATTTTCTCCGCGCCGACGTCGCCGGTGCATCGGCGATGCGGCTCGATGTGGAGCCCGAGTTTCTCCGCGCCGACGTCGCCGGTGCATCATCGACGTTGCCGGTGCATCGGCGATGCATCGCCGATATATGGCCGATGCATCGGCGATGCGGCGCGATCTTCCGACAACATCTACTCCGACCCCATCTAGGACTAGGAGGCCTCTAGCCATGCAGCGCACGAGTGCGAACATGTTGCCGCATGGATTGCTGCGCTCAGAGGAGGGCAGGGTGCCCATACCGCTGCCCTTGCCTCGCTTTCCCCTTTTCGGGCCTCCTGGGAGAGCCTTGACGCCACCGCTGGATTCGCCTCGAAATTCTGGTCAGAACGCGCCCCAGGCGAGGTCCGTGGAGTAGCGGCATCAGTAACTTTTGGTTTCCCCAGGCCTTTCCTCGAGCAGCTTCACCGCCACGCCAAGCAGCGCACGGCTGCGAACATTTTCCAGCCTGATGTGCTGCAGGCGTGCCTGCGTGTACAGTCGAGGCGCTCAAATAAGGACCACTTGGGGTTCAGGACTGGCTGTGATTTTCAGGCGGGCGTTGCAAATTTGTCTATGGTAAAATCAAACGATTCCATGCATTTTATGTTCGCACATGGGGAAAACAAATAAACTTACATTATGTTCGACATTTTGTTTTAGTATCGTTAAATATGTAGGCCGTGATTTTCAGGCCGTTTCCTGGGTTCAGGTCGGGGACTGCATTCGCGGCCGAGGCCCGCCGTGGCCGGGAAGGCCCCTTCCGTTCCTCACTCAGCGTTCTTCCTGGCAGTGCCATGTCGGTATGCTTGTTGCGCCATCCGTAGCCGCCGAGGCTCGAATCCAGAGGTCGTCCGGCATGTTCTAGAGCCAGGCCGAGGAAAACATTGCGCAGTCACAGCTTGAGAGTTCTTGGGCTTCATCGGCCCTTCCTCAGGCAGTGGCGAGGCCGCCTGGTTTACCCATAGGCCCACCAGAGGATGGTCTAAGCAAATGTTGCGGTTTGCGCGAGGCGTTCTTAGATCACTTCTGTCTGAGACCGACTTGTTCTCCTTTGTCTGTGTCATGATATAAGAACATTATTTTTATTATTGGAACGAACTCTTGTTACAAGAACATCTCGTGGTAGGCCTTTAGCAATGCCGGGACAGTCGGTTCCTGCTCGGATTCCGCGCCGCCGTCGTCGTGGTCGTCGTCGTCGTCTCGGACGGCACCGACTATACGCCATCCGGGCGGTGCAAGTTTTGTCACGTTTGGCGTTTCCGCCCCGTTTTAGCCCCAGGGCTCTCGCACATGATCCAGTTCGCAGACAGATGGGTTCTACACAGCCGTGACAAAAGTTTCTTCAATTGTCCATGATGATGATCTCTTCCATCCCACGGAATACTCCTAACATGACATGATGGTGACTGCATCATTTGGCGGAGTAGTTTCCGATGGATTGGAAATTACTCCGCGCCAAACCCTAGGAGTTATGGAGCGGGATGCGCCCACGCGCGGAGTAGTTGGAATAGTTTTCCTGCGAACGACTCCGTGCTGATGCGCTACTGGCGAACGCAGATTGAAAGAAGCTTTGGTCACTGTGATGTAGGGCTTCGGTCATGATTGTAGTGGCCTCCGGCCAGTGCCGCCGATCCGGGGCGCTCCGGGTGCCTGTGGAAATGAACGACGACGAGGAAGACGAAAACGACGACGAAAACGAATACGTCGACGACGACGACGACGACGAGAGCGACGACGACAACGACCGACGACGACGACGACGACGGCGATGACGACGACGACGACGAGCGACGACGACGACGACGACGATGACGCGAGACGACGACGACGACGACGACGACGACGACGACGACGACGACGACGACGACGACGACGACGACGACGACGACGACGACGACGACGACGACGACGACGACGACGACGACGACGACGACGACGACGACGACGACGACGACGACGACGACGACGGGGGAGGAGCTGGGTTGCACGGGGGGGTCTGCTCTGCAGGGGGGGTCCGCTCGGCAGAGGGAGGGGCTGCAGGGGAGAGGGGGGTCCGCTCTGCAGGGGGGGGGGGGGGCTGCAGGAGGGGGGGTCTGCTCTGCAGGGGGGGGGGTGCAGGGAGGGGGGGGGTCCGCTCTGCAGGGGGGGGGGGCTGCACGGGGGGTCCGCTCTGCAGGGGGGGGGGGGCTGGGCTGCAGGAGGGGGGGGGGGGGGCGCTCTGCAGGGGGAGGGTGGGGTCTGCTCTGCAGGGGGGGGGTGCAGGGGAGGAGGGGGGGGTCCGCTCTGCAGGGGGGGGGGGGGGCTGCAGGGGGGAGGTTCGCTTGGCAGGGGGGGGTGCTCAGCTCTGCAGGGGGGGGATGCAGGGGAGGGGGGGGGTCCGCTCTGGGGGGGGGGGCTGCAGGGGGAAGGTCTGCTCTGCAGGGGGGGGGGGGGGCTGGGGCTGCAGGAGGGGGGGGTCTGCTCTGCAGGGGGGGGGTCCGCTCTGGAGGGGGGGGTGGGGCAAAGCACTGAATTAGGTCGGAAATAGGTCGGAAATGAGGTCCCCCCCCCTTCGGCAGAGCGAAGCTTGAGCAAGCTCAAGCCCACGCTCTCAGAAACTCACACGCCGGATCGGCGGATTTTCGCGATGTTGCATTGTTCTGCAAGGCCAGATCTGAGGGTGCACCGATCTTGGCCGCCGAAGCTGGACCCAGGCTCGGTGTACGTGCCTTCCTGCCTGAGCCGGAGAGGGCGTACACACCTTTTTGTGGCCAGCGAGCGGGAGCCCCGTGACAGAGTGCAGGGGGACGACACGACACGACGACGAGAACGACGGACGACAGGCGAACGACAAGCGCGCGGGGCGGGGAGGGGGAGGGAAGAGGGGGAAGGGGGAGGCCGGCCCGCGCGAGGGCATACACACACGGCTCCCGGGGCCAGGGCAGGCCTGGTTGGGGGGTGGTGCAGGTGTGCGTGCACTAGGTGACCTCTCCCCATTCGGCGCCGATGACTGTCGGCAGTCTTCGATCGTCTTCGACGGTTTCCGGAAGTTCTCGGAGGCTTTAGCTTCGACGTCGTCCATGGTTTGGTTCTGTCATGGTCGAAGGACGTCGAGGATCTTCAACTGCTTCGAACGTTTGATGTTTTTTGTTTTCTGAGGATCTTGGAGGCTCCCGGAGGGTTGACGTCGTCGTCATCTTCGTCGTCGTCGATGAGTTTCTTCGGTTTTCGATCGTCTTCGGCGGCCTTCGGTAGTTTATGGACGGTTCTCGGCGGCTCTCGGCGACTCCCGGGGGGATTGTCGTCGTCTCTGTCTTCGTTTAGGATGTTCGACGGTTTCGCATGTTCTTTATTTTTGTAGGCTTTGGAGACTCCCTGAGGCTTGTCGTCGTTGTCGTGGTCGGCGTCGTCATATTCGCAGTAGTCGGTATATGTTTTCGACTTCCTTAGGGAAACTAGCAATGACATAAACATAACAACTCGAAGGTCTGCGCGGATTTCTCGGATCGGCGCTGGACCCCCCCTCCGTGGCGCGCGGAGCGCGCTAGGGGCAGCGCCGGAGGAACCGCCGGGGAGGGGGGTCCAGCGCCGATCCGAGACATCCGCGCGGACCTACGAGTCTTGATGATTATCTCATTGCGTCATTGTTCGTTCCCCTAAAATTCCTGCGACTTTCTAGAGTTCCACAATCTTCGGCGGTTTATGGGGTTCTCGGAGGCTGTCTTCGTCGTCGACGAGTTTCATCGGCCTTCGACGGTTCTCGGAGATTCTTCTTGAGGACCGCGGAGGTTCATACGGAGGCTCTTGCCCGCGGTTCTGTAGAGGCTTCTCGGGGGAGTGCTGTCGTCGGTATCTTCACCCTCGTCGATGATTCGCCCTGATGTTCAAAGGACTGCGAGGCTCTTCGGCGGGTCCGACTGCGGTCTTCTGTGCTCGTGGATCTCTCGAGGACTCTTGGACTGGTGTCGTCGTCGTCTTCGCCGTCGCCGCTGCTGCTCGACGATGTCCGACCGTCCTCGGACCTGCTCCTCTCGGAGGCTCCCCAGGGGCGAATGCCTTCGATGCTCGAACGTCTTTTCGAGTGCCTTCGATGCTCGAAGGCCTTCGAGCGACGTCGCTTGTAGTCGTCGGGGACCTGGCGCCGCTCGTGGCTCTCCTGGTCATGCTCGGGCATCTTGTGTGCGGCGCCCGCAGCAGCGGTGACCTCTTGCCCGGGGGGCCAAGGCGGGGCTCCCCTCGGAACTATTCTTTAAGGCGGGCGTGTCCCTCTACAGGTTACAGGAGGAGCGTTCGAACAGAATCCAACAAATGATATGGAGCTGTCTTTTGTGACTATTTTGGGGTACTTTGTTATTTCTGATCGATCGCTGGTTATGGTTGTTCGAGTACTGGACTTCAATCAGGCGTGCCCCTCCACAGGAGGAATGCTCAAGAATAGGTGAACAAATAAGACGGTGACGATTTTTCAGTGTTCGCATGCCTATGTTTGATTAGTTTTCGGGTTGTTGTGGATTTGCCTGCAGGAGGACATGCCCGCCCTAAGGAGGACATCCGCCTGCAAAATCCGCCTGCGAAATCCACATGTAGGATTTGCGGACGTGCCCGACCTAAGTCTAGTCGCGGTCGTGTTTTGGAGTTGGTTTGCGGAGTTCCCCCCGACCTTGTGGATGGTGTCCTTCCCGTTGTGCGACCCCTTCGTAAACCGTCTCTAGGCTTCCGAGATGGGGTCCGACGAGATGGGGTCTGAGGATCGCGCCGCATCGCCGATGCATCGCCGATGCGGCTCGATGCGGAGCCCGATCCCCTCCACGCCGACGGCGCCGATGCTTCGCTGAGGTAGCAGGTTGTATCGCCAATGCATCGGTGATGCATCCGCGATGCGGCGCGATGCTCCGACCCCATCTAGGAGGCCTCTAATCTTGGGAGTGGTCTAGTCGCGGTCGTGGTTGGAGCTCGTTTGGGGAGTTTCCCCCGACCTTGTGGATGGTGTCATTGCCGTTGTGCGACCCCCACGTAGGACGTCGGCAAATAAATCTCGGCGGGAGTCCCGGGCCGAAGAGCTCCTCCGCAGCCACCAGAGGCGGAGACCTCGGGAGAGCGACGAAGGTGGTGCAGGAGGCCGACGTGTCTCGTGGAAGGTTTCTCCGAAGGGCTTAGGCGACCCGTCCTCCTCCTCTCTCCTCCTCCTCCTCCTCCTCCTTCTCCTCCTCCTCCTCCTCCTCCTCCCTCCCCCTCCTCCTTCTCCTCGTCTTCCTCCACCTCCTCCTCCTCCTCCTCCATTCCTTCTCCTTATAGACAACTGCTCCCTGTCGCACCCCGAGGCCAGTTTTTTGGCGGACCGGGCGTTTCGACTGAGACGTCTTCACCGCTTATGACTCTGAAGCTTAACAAGTAATAACAGTTTGCAGATGGGGGGCCGGTCGTTTTCAACATGTGGCTCTCGCTTTTAGCGCCGCGTACATTCATTTTATACATTTGCAAGAGGTTCACGGATTGAGGGCGGGTCGTTTTCACAATGTGGCTCTCGCCTTAGCGCCGCGCACATTCGTTTCACAAACATTCGCAAGAGGTTCTCGCATTGAGAGCGGCTAGTTTTCAAATGTGTTGCTCTCGCCTGAGCGCCGCGCGCATCCGTTTGAAACACATTCGCAAGGGTGTCACGTATTGAAGGCGGGCGGTGTTCAAAATGTGGTTATCGCCTTCGCGCCGCGTACACTCGTTCTAAGAATTTGCACGAGTTTCACGGATTGAAGGCGGGTCCTTTTCAACATGTGGCTCTCGCCTTAGCGCCGCGCACATTCGTGTCACGAATTTGCAAGGGCTTCACGGATTGAGGGTGGCTCCTCTTGAAAATCTGTTTCTGGCCTGAGCGCCGCGTAAATTCGTTTTCAAAATTTGCAAGAGCTTCACGGATTGAGGGTGGCTCCTTTTAAAAATGTGGTTATCGCTTCAGCGCCGCGCACATTCTTAAACATGTGCAACAAGAGTTTCACGGATTCCCATGGTCAGCGCACCAGAAATGGTGTTTTGGACGGATTCAGGAGCACGCGGGTGCAAAAGTTGTTCTGGCTCGCGGTGTTGAAGCCCCACAAATGACTCTCTGACGCGGTTCTGGGTTGCCAAGACGCAGCAGTCAGGTTGATACGTAGCATTGAAATCCTCCCGACAGCAAAGTTTCGAAATGTGTCAGGATCTTCAAACGATTGTCTTCCAACAGGGCAGGTCCTTCTGTGGAAGTGAACCATTGTAGGGGCCTGTGAAGAGGGAGCTTGGAGGGAGGGTTAATTCCAGCTTCGTTGATGACTCTTGGGTTTGCACTGGTCCTCCTCCTCCTCTTCCTCCTCCTCCTCCTCCATTCCTTCTCCTTACAACTAATTCCTCCCTGTTGCACCCCGAGGCAAGTTTGTAGGGCGGGCCGGGCGTTCCGCGTAAGACTTCTTCACCGCTTATGACCCTGAAGCGTAAACGTTGGCAACAGTTTTACTGATGGAAGGCGGGTCGTTTTCAACATGTGGTTCTCGCTTCAGCGCCGCGCACATTCTTTTTAAAACAGGTTGCAAGCGTTTCACGGATTGAGGGCGGGTGGTTTTCAACATGTGGTTCTCCCTTAGCGCCGCTCACTCTTGTTCTTTAAAACATTCGCAAGAGGTTCGCGGATTGAGGGCGGGTCGTTTTCACATGTGTGGCTCTCGCCTTAGCGCCGCGCACATTCGTTTTACAAAACGACAGAAGTTTAACGGATTGAAGGTAACTCCTTTTCGAAATGTGGTTCTCGCCCTAGCGCCGCGCACATTCTTGGTACAGATTTGCAAAAGTTTCACGGGTTCCCATGATTGACGTACCAGAAATGGTGTTTTGGAAGGTTTGACGATTTTTAGGGTGCACCAATTACGCTGATTCGCGGATTTGAAGTCCCAGGAATGGCTTTCTGGCGCGATTCAGGATCGTCAAGACGCAACAGTCAGGTTCATCCGTGGCGTTGGAATACAGGGAACAACGTTTTGAAATGTTTCAGGATCTTCAAACGGTTGTCTTCCAACGAGGCAGGTTCTTCTGTGGAAGTGAACCGTTGTAGGGGCATCTGAAGAGGGAGCTTGGGGGGAGGGTTCTTTCCAACATCGTTGGAGGCCCTTGGGTTTACACTGGTCCTCCTCCTCCTCCTCCTCCTCCTCCTCCTCCTCCACCTCCCCGTCCTCCTCCTGCTCCCACTCCTCGCCCTCCCCTCTTCGAGTCGCCGACGGCCCTGGGGGAAACCGTCCAGTGTATCGTGGGGCCCCTGGTGAGAGGGAACATCGCCTGTGCTTGTGTTACCACTGGTGGTCGTATGCCCACCTGCAGTCATGACGGGACGTGTGGTGCTCCATCTCGAAGATGGCTTCCTGCGAGGGGGCCAGGTTTTTGTTGTCCACACCCTCGTCCGTGTGAAGGTCGTTCTGGGTTCAGGTCCTGGCTTTTCTCAGTTGCAGAGCGCGAGACGGTTTCCGAGGCGGGGATCCATCCAGAACCACCGCCTGGGGGACTGATCTTCGGCGACTTCGGCAGGCACTGCATATGGATGTGCTCGGGCCCGCAGGTGAAGATTCATGTGTCCATAGCCGCCGCCTGCCGAGGTCCCGACGGCCGAATCCACAGGCGGTGATTATGGATACCCTGAGATCCACAGTTGCGAACAAACATTTTTCGCCGATGGTGAGGCAGAGGCAGTCCGCACCAGCGTGAGGCAGTTGCGAGCAAACACGCAGCACCGCGAAAAATGATGACCTGAGCCCTAGGCACAATCTCTATGCTGCGTGAGCCGAATTGGCCTGTGACAGTCCAAGGGCCCGAAGCCACGCGAACTCGCCCAGGGTGAAAAACTGCCACGCCCCGATCTCGGGTCCCTTTTTTGGCCCGCCGTTCGACCTTCTGTGGCTGCCCTCGGCTGGCGAGCGCCCCAGGCCCTGCCAGCGCCGGCCAGTGCTCCGCCGCCAGCGGCCCGCCGGGCGCCGGCGTCGCTGGCCGCCCGGGCCCCCCCGTGGAGGCGATCGAGCTGTTGGACTCCGAGGATCGGGAGGGTCCCGAAAAGACGCGACACGTGAAGCAGTGACGAGGCATCCTGGTCTGCCTGCAGCCCGGCCCGCAGATGATCTAAAAGCTGTCTGTCCCAGCCAGCCTTTTGCGTGGGGTCCTTGTTCTGAAGAGGCGGTCCCCGCGCCTCCTCCTCTCCTCTCCTCTCCCCCTTCCCCCTCCTGGCCTCTGGCCTCATCCGAGTGCGTCGCCTCCACCCAGTAGAGCGCTTCGTGGCCCCATGGGGAGCTCCACCGAAGGCCCCAGTGGCTGCTCTCGCATGCGGGACCCCCACGCTGTACAGCGCTTCGTGGCCCAATAGGGAGCTCCACCGAAAGCCCCGGTTGCTGCTCTCGCATGCGGGACCCCGACGCTGTACAGCGCTTCGTGGCCCCATGGGGAGCTCCACCGAAAGCCCCAGTGGCTGCTCTCTCATGCGGGACCCCCACGCTGTACAGCGCTTCGTGGCCCTATGGGTAGCTCCTCTCCTTGCCTCTGCCCTCATCAACTTGCGTCTCCCCCACCAAGTACAGCGCTTGGTGACCCAACAGGGAGCTCCACCGAAGGCCCCAGTGGTTGCACTGGCAAGTGGGACCCCTGCCCAGTACAGCGTCTCGTGGCCCCAGAAGAAGCTCCACTGAAGGCCCCCAGTGGCTGCACTCGCATGCGGTTCCCCTGTCCAGTACAGCGCTTCGTGGCCACATAGGTTGCTCCACCAAAGGCCCCAGTGGCAGTGTTCGCATGCGTCTCTCTCGCCCAGTACAGCGCTTCGTGGCCCCATACGGAGCTCCACCGAAGGCCCCAGTGGCAGTGTTCGCATGCGTCTCTCTCGCGCAGTACAGCGCTTCGTGGCCCCATACGGAGCTCCACCGAAGGCCCCAGTGGATGCTCTCGCATGCGTTTCCCTCACGTCGTACAGCGCTTCGTGGCCCCATTCTGCGCTCCGCCAAAGGTCACAGTGGCGGCCCCCGCTCCATGGCGGCGCACCCCTCACACGCTTCGCGGCCCCATAGTGGGCTCCGCGTTCTGCGCTCCGCCAAAGGTCACAGTGGCGGCCCCCGCTCCATGGCGGCGCACCCCTCACACGCTTCGCGGCCCCATAGTGGGCTCCGCGTAAAGCCCCAGCGGCAGCGCCCACATGGCGGCCTGGCCCCACATCGGCACACCCTTCGCATGCTTGATGGCCCCATATGAGAAGATTCCCGAAGGCGATACCCGCCACGACGGTTCTCATTACTGCATCTGGTGGTGTCCTTCGCCAAAATACTTGCAGCTAGTATGCGATGCCTTGAGAGCATTACTGTCTGAGACAGGCTTGTTGCTAGACGGTCCTAGGTTCTACGAACACCGGATCTTTCTCATAACATTACTTCGCTATGAAACAGATTGTCCTGATATCGGCGCCAGTATATAATTACGGTACCGAGGAACCCCACATACTCTTATTATAGCTGGAGTGAAGATGGTTAAAGGGAAGCATGTGGGAATGATATTGGTGGCCGTTGCCCCGCCGATACCAGTGGCGACGCCAGTCACGAGGATAGTTGCGAGGCCGAAACTTATAGCGACCGCACCCCCAGCGCACCCACCCGAGGAAATGCCACGCCTGCCACGCTTTGCGACGCCGAAACGGATAGCGACCGCACCCCCAGCGCACCCCCTGTTGCGTCGAGAAACTGCCACGCCTGCCACGCTTTGCGACGCCAGAACGGATAGCGACCGCACCCCGAGCGCACCCCCTGTGGCGCCTAGGAAGTGCCACGCCTGCCACGCTTTGCGACGCCAGAGCGGGTAGCGACCGCGCCCCCCGCGCACCCCCTGTTGCATCGAGAAACTGCCACGCCTGCCACGCTTTGCAAGGCCGAAGCGGATAACCACCGCACCCCTAGCGCACCCCTTGTGGAGAAAGGGCCACGCCTGCCACGCTTTGCGAGGCCGAAGCTTACAGCGACCGCGCCCCCAGCGCACCCCCTTGTGACACCGAGAAAGCGCCACGCTTGCCACACGTTGCGAGGCCGAAGCGCATAGCGACCGCACCCCCAGCGCACCACCTGTGGCGCCGAGGAAGTGCCACGCCTGCCACGCTTTGCGACGCCGAAACGGATAGCGACCGCAACCCCAACGCACCCCGTTGTGGCGTCGAGGCAGTGCCACGCCAGCCACGCTTTGCGAGGCCGAAGCAGATAGCCACCGCACCCCAAGCGCACCACCCCCTGTGGCGTCGAGAAAGTGTCAGGCCTGCCATGCTTTGCGAAACCGAAACGGATAGCGACCGCACCCCCAGCGCACCCCTTGTTGCGTCGAGAAAGTGCCACGTTTGCAACGCTTTGCGAGGCCGAAACGGATAGCGACCGCACCCCCTGCGCACCACATGTGGCGTCGAGAAAGTGCCACGTTTGCCACACGTTGCGAGGCCGAAGCGCATAGCCACCGCAACCCCAACGCACCCCCTTCTGGCGTCGACGAAGTGCCGCGCCTGCCACGCTTTGCGAGGCCGAAGCGGATAGCGAGCGCACTCCCTGCGCACCCCTTCTGGTGTCGAGAAAGTGCCACGCCAGGCCCTGCAACAGTGGCGCGTCTAGAGACCGCGCTGGGGGACCGTCCCCTGCGCACCCCCTTTGGTGTCGAGAAACAGCCACCCCTGCTAGGCCGTGCGACACTGGTGCGTATGGAAGCCGCGGTGAGGGACCACCCCCTGCGCACCCCTTCTGGTGTCGAGGCCCTGCGACATTGGCGCGTATAGAGACCGCGCTGGGGGACCACACCTTGCGCACCCCTGTGGTGTCGAAAAAGTGGCACAACTGCTAGGCCCTGCGACATTGGCGCGTATAGAGACCGCGCTGATGGACCACCCCCTGCGCACCCGCCCTGGTGTCCAGAAAGCAGCTGTGCTGAGCTGTAGTGAGCTGTGCTGAGCTGGCCTGTGCTGAGCAGTGCTGTGTTGTGCTGTGTTGTGCTGTGCTGTGTACGTGCTGTGTGTCAATGTGCTGTATGCTGTGATGAGCTGTGGTGTGCTGAGCTGTGGTGTGCTGTGCTGTGCTGCGCTGCGCTGTGCTGTGCTGCGCTGTGCTGTGTGAGAAGGAGAAGGAAAAGGAGGAGGAGGGGTGAGGAGGAGACGCGGGTGCGACGCGGGAAGGAATACAACCATAACCCCCCTAAGTTTGTGGGAAAAAAACCTCCTCGCGCCGTGACTAAAAATCACGGCGAGGGTTGCGTTTGGTCAGTGTTCGGCATCTGCGGTCCCTTGTCTGGTCCGCCCCAGCTTCGCGATGAGAATTTGGTTCGGGAAAAATGGGTCCAGATCTCTGGGGGCCCACGCTGTGGAGGAATCGCAACGTCGGAGTGTTGCGAATACGCTACACTCTATACCTGTTGAGATGTCCCCGCCCTGTTGATGGACACTAAATATCGTTCTGGCGACCTTACTGACGGACCGGGGTCCCACCAATAGTGGCGAATAGATATTTCTCCGCGGCACCCGCCGCACAACCACGACGAGGAACAGGAGGAGGATGAGGAGGAGGAGGAGGAGGAGCAAGGGGGCACGACGGGAGGAGGAGCAGGACGACGTGAGGCGGAGTTGATCCCCCGCGGAGAGACACAGGGGGGGGGGGAATGTAGAACTAAAGACCTCCTCAGGGTACACACATCGGTGTCATTCAACCGATGCCCATCCCCATCCCCATCCCCTTCGAGACCCCCACCAAATTACCACCCCAGTTGGGGATATACCCCTCGAAACCCGAAGGGAACGACCTATATCCCTATCAAGGGGGGTAAATCGGCCAATGGGGTCCAGGCCACGCCGCTGGGGATGGGGATTGGTTAAGCGATATACTCAATACACAGGGCTCAAGCGCCCTGGACTCCGAGGACCGAGGACCCGAAACTG